AGAGCCGTGAGGTCCCGGGTTCGAGTCTCGCAGAGTGCCTAGGAGATTTTTCCAGCAGTAATATGCAAATTAACCAGCTGACCAAGAGCTAAGAATCACAACAACGCTTAATTTGAATAATAAAAATTTAATATTCAGATTACGCTCTAATTTTTATTCCGGTGATTCAAATTTCCGCCATTCTCAGCCTTGGGGGTAGGTATGGCCATTCAAAACATTCCCCCTCCACTCGACCCTTCGGCGCCGGTGGGCGTGGTCTAGTGGCGCCGAAGGGTCGAGTGGAGGGGGAATGTTTTGACTGGCCACACCTATCCCCATACTACTTACAATTGATGTCCTTAATTTACATAATAATCAAAAATATTATTACGTCACATTTTACAAGACTTTAAATGCCTGATTCTTTTGTTATACTCTTCCTTAACTGGTACGATTGATTTTTATTATTAGATGTAGTCTTCAAGGATAACTTGATTGTTTTTCTACGTCGTAATCTAAACCGCACAAACAAATAAATTATCTTAAACTATGATAGAAAGATTCTTTGAGTAGAATAATAGGGCCGGTTCTAACCCAGGAGTGCTGAGGGGGACGCAGGGAAGCGGGGAACTCAGGCCGGGGGGTATGATGTCGCGCGAAGAAGGGGAACTCATGGTGGGATGTCACGCAAGATGGCGACCGTGACGTCACGACAAAAACTGTACTGGGATGCTACTAGACTCGAACCCGGGCCCTCGTGGTTACTACCCAATGTTCCAAAGCTCCTAGATCACCGTCGTTTGTTGCTAGTAGACGTCTAGTGAAGGTACTTAGAGTAGGCATGATGACGTCACGAGAGGAAAAATAAGTCGAAACTAGGTCAGACTCAAACCTCAGACCCTTCGTTTACTGCGCCATATCGAACGTCTATCGAAGGTCTCTCGAACGTCTATCGAACGTCTATCGAACGTCTATCGAACATCTATCGAACGTCTATCGAACGTCTATCGAACGTCTATCGAACATCTATCGAACGTCTATCGAACATTTATCGAACGTCTATCGAACGTCTATCGAACGTCTATCGAACATCTATCAAATGTCTATCGAATGTCTCTCGAATGTTTGTGCTTATAGTTTCTCCAAACGGTAGAAGATCGATATGGATTTAAATGACGACATTCCACTAACAGCAGTCAATATTCGCTTGGCATTTTGCGAACATGTCGCTAACGCTTACGTTGACTGGCAACAGTAGCGTCCTTACGGTGAGCTATTTTCCTGCTGTAGATTTGAGCGACGGTGATTATGAGCTTGGTTTAACGGATTTTGAAACATATAATACGATACCAAATGTAAATTCATTGAATAATAAATTTTACTATGGTGCTAACGACGAAGAAATTACGATTCCTGAAGGATCGTACGAATTGCGCGCCATATACGAATATCTAAAACGTGCAATTTCACATTCTCAAAAAACAGTGCGTTCCAAAAATAACCCATATAGAGATGATGATAATGAATATCCTATAATAATTCGTGCCAATAATAATACGATGAAGAGTGAAATAAAATGGGCTTGTAGGATAAATTTGAGCAAACCAAACAACATTGGCTCGCTTTTAGGATTCTCATCAAGCCGTGTATTAGAATCGCACTGATGGTACGAATCGGACGCACCGATTATCAAGACGCACAAGATTATCAACGTGAATATCATTCGTATAGAATGCAGCGTTGTCAGTGGTATGTACAGTAACAGTATGCGTGTACATACGATACATGAATTCTCGCCTAAAGTACCACCAGGATATCGGAAACGCCGGTACATGTTATTTACCTTCCAATCATCACACGAAGCATTACAGATTTAACGGTGTGTGTCGTCGATCAAGAAGGACAATCGCTCGATTTTTGTGGAGAAGAGATTACTATTAGATTGCATGTACGACGGCGACGATAATAAACGTAATCTATGAAATGCTTGTGGTGAATCAAGTGGAACAGGAGAAACAAGCGGGAAATATATTTTTTACGAGACGCGCGATTAACAGTACAAAATCCCTCGTTCGAAAGAAACTCAGCGCGTTTAACGTTGAATTTTTGAAATCTCTGGGATTCATCGTACGAAACGATTGAGAAAGATGATTGATATTTTGAACATTGAAAGTGAACCGGTCTTTGACGACCGCATCGTCAAGATTGAGACACATACGTACAATCCATACGCTAATACAACGTTTGGATATAGTGACGAGATACGAATACCCATATAGCAGCAGGATTTATACATATTGCCATGCGAGAGTTATCTCTATGTCGAGGGGAAGGTGACGAAACAAGTTGCAGTCGATGGTGCGACTGTAACGTTGGGATATAATTGCATTGCATTCATGTTTGATGAGATCCGTTATGAACTGGATGGTGTGGAGATTGATCGTAACAGAAACGTGGGAATAACTTCAACGCTCAAAAACTATATATCGATATCTTTAGACGAAAATGCTGTCATGAAAAATGCCGCGTGAGATACGACTGACACTATTTCGCCGGACGGGTACTTCAATCTTTGCATACCACTCAGCGTGTTGCTAGGATTCTGTGAAGACTACAAGCGTATAGTGATTAAGGCGCGTCACGAATTGATTCTATTACGATCGCGCAGCGACAACAACAGTCTATTAGGATCTCCAACGCTGGATCCTAAGATTGAGCTATTCAAGATACAATGGCGAATGCCTCACGTAATCTTGAACGATATCAATAAACTTTCAATGCTGAAAACTTTGGAGAACGGACAATACTTGAGTATGAGTTTCCGCTCGTGGGATCTGTATGAATTTCCTCTACTGCAAAGCACGACCAAACACCAGTGGACCGTCAAAACTGCTACTAATTTAGAAAAACCTCGATACGTTATCTTTGCGTTGCAGACTGGCCGGAAGAATGTCATATCAGAAAATATAACTTGTTTCGATGACTGCAAATTGATCAACGCGAAGCTCTATCTGAATTCAGAGTGTTATCCGTACGATGACATGAATTTGGACTTTGCAAAAAATAAATACGCAATACTTTACGCAATACTTTACATGTATAGACGTTTTCGTAAATCGTATTATGGATACGACAGTGCTGAGGTATGGTTAACAACTACCGACCTTCTGCGGCTAGGTCCTTTCGTGGTGATCGATTGTTCGCATCAATATGAGTCCGTCAAGAATACCACTGTGGATGTGCGGATAGAATTTGAGTGTAAGGAGAATATACCGGCGAATACTACTGCGTGTTGTCTCATCCTGCATGATCGTGTAGTTGAATACAGCCCGCTAACCGACATAGTGCGCAAACTCAACTAACATTGGAAAGTATATATGAGAAAAGAATAATACACGAAACAAAGTGCTATAAACGGCATTTCTCTCCTGGACGTGTCGAAGAATATTTCACCATGGATGTTCCGACATTTGTCGACTTGCAAGGATTCATGGTTGGAAAAAGATTTATTGTAAAAGAAGTGGCGATACTGAAGAACGGAACTATTCTTTCGCACTACATCTTCACGAGTCCGATGCCATGGCATCTGCTCACAAGATCGGACAAATCGAGGGCCTACTGGTTAACTGCTAATCATCATGGATTACGATGGAACGATGGAACCATCAAATACTGCAGAGCTAAACATCTGGTTACTGCAGCTATGGCGGGTGATATGTATGACGAGCTTGAAGACAATGCATCTCAATTTGTGTATGTGAAGGGACATGAGAAGCGGGAATGGCTGTTACAACTTCTGGATGACAATGCGAGAAGCAGTGTGATCATTAAGACCATGGATACCGATTACGATGATATGCCTTCCCTGCAAAAATTGAATAATACTTTTCGATGTAATAATCATATGAAAAACTGCGCATTACAGAATGTATTAAATATTTTCAATTGGTGGTCTCGAAGAAAATTGTACGACGCTATATAATAAATCATTATTTCAAATGTACAGATGTTTCTTCCAACTTTCCCTTATCCCCTTTCTTAGGATTTTATATGGTAATTGTGTTGATAAAAATACTTCTTTGCAGTATGATACTTATTAGACGTTCGAGAGATGTTCGATTGACGTTCAATAGATGTTCGATAGACGTTCGATAGACGTTCGATAGACGTTCAATAGACGTTCGATAGACGTTCGATATGGCGCAGTAAACGAAGGATCTGGGGTTTGAGTCTGACCTAGTTTCGACTTATTTTTCCTCTCGTGACGTCATCATGCCTACTCTAAGAACCTTCACTAGACATCTACTAGCAACAAACGACGGGGGTCTAGCAGCTTTGGAGCATTGGGTAATAACCACGAGGGCCCGGGTTGGAGTCCTAGCAGCATCCCGACAGTTTTTTCTCTCGTGACGTCATCATGCCCACTCTAAGAACCTTGACTAGACGTCTAATAGCAACAGGCGACAGTGGTTTAGGAGCTTTGGAGTATTAGGTAGTAACGAGGGCCCGGGTTCGAGTCTACCTACATCCCAAAACGTTTTTTTTCTCGTGACGTATGCGTAACGTCACGGTCGTCATCTTGCATGACGTCCCACCATGAATTCCCCTTTCCCGCGCGACGTCATACGCCGCGCCCTGAGTTCCCCGCTTCCCCGCGTACTCCTCAGCATTCCTGGGTTTTACAACCGGCCTTATTATTCTACTTCTTTGCAGTATAAATAGCGGGTACGTCGGTGGAATGCGGCAGTAAGTAACGAACTTCGATGAGTCGTTGAGATTTTAATATCCGTAACGCATTTATGATTTTCGATTAAGAAAATAACGCGTTGATTCCGTCAATCAAACGCTTGATCGAAACAGCGACGTTAAAAATGAAGTTTTTCGTGAAAATGTTGTTCGCGACGGCATTATTAACGATCGTCTTGTCACCGGCGATTTGTCAAATCTATGATGAAGAATCAACAGTCAACAACAATTTTTTTATAAAATTTCGATACATTGGTGGATCATGTCCAGAGAATCAACGGTTGGACAAGGATGGGAACTGTCGAGTGGTAGAATATGTCACTCACTAAGGTAACTGCGTTTTCATTATTTTCACGAATAATAGCTAAAAATAGGTTTAATAGTGAATCAAAATCACTTTAGTTATTTTATTCCTAAAATATAATTTTTTCAAAAGGAGTAAAATCCGCTTGACGAAAATCGCTAAGAGACAATCGCTGGTTATTCAAGGATAAATCGAGAAGGATGACTAGCAAAACAGGACAAATATTATTCATATCGATGTTACGATGGCAATTTCATCAGATTATACATTATTGCATGCACATAGAAGACATTGTTCACTTTTTAAGCTGTCAACCTCACAATTATAATAATAAGTATGAATGTTTGATGGATTGCGGAGAAATATAATAATGCAAAGTGTTGCATGAGAATGGTGTTATTGCATTTTTTTTATAAAAAAAGAAGCAGCCCACACGCGCGTTATACTCGTATATCAAACGATATCTTCTTAAAATCCTACCTTTGTTAAGTTAGCCGATACCGGTATTCGATGAATGTCAACTTCGGACGTTCGCACATTGCTTTTATCAGAAATTTTTCTATTAAAATAGGCATTTTATGAAATGTTTATAACATGTTTCATAAAATTAGATTAGTTGTGTGTAAGAGTACAATAAATAAAAGTGCCGTCATCGTATCCTTCTTCACGGACTCGTTTTTCTACTGACAAAAAAGTAAGAGGTGTTTAAAATACAATTATATTCTTCCCCCATGAAAAAACTTGTACTTTCAAGTTTATACGATAAACTAAACGTTTTATTGCGAATAATAAAAGATGTTAAGAAATTACAGTCGGTTTCCATAAAATTTCGGAAAGATGATACTACGGTTGATGTCGTTAACTTATATCATAAACAAGAACACTATTACATTACTTTTTATAAGACTTTGAGGACACGATTCATTTACCATTCTCTTCTCTGACTCATATGATTGATTGTTATTCGCGATATAGTCTTCAAGGAAACTCATTGATCAATCTTTACCTATATCATAGAACATACAAACAAGTATTGTAAATTGCTTCACACACGAGAGCTATATACATAATCGTCTGAAGGTTACAAACGGCGGGGTTATAAATAGCAGGTTTGTCGGTGAAACATGGCAATATGTAGCGAACTTCAGTGAGCTATTGATATTGCAACGTCCGTGATCCATTTGTGATTTTCGATTAAAAAAACGACGTGTCGATTCCGCCAATCGCATATTTCATCGAAACATCGACATTAAAAATGAAGTTTTTCGTGAAAGTGTTGCTCGCGCTGGCGTTGTTAATCTTGATTGTTTTATCACCAGCGATTTGTGAAGACACGGAAGATGAAGACTACGAAGATCCATGGAATAAAACACTTGAGCTATTACCGACTGGTCCTACAGAGATTTATATTATACAATTTCTAAACCTATCGCAATGCCCAGAAAATCAACGGCAAGACAAAGATGGGAGATGTCGAGTAATAGAATAATTTCATTCACTAAAGTAATTACGTTTTCGTTATTTTCATAAACAGTTATTAAATAATTTTCATAAATAATTGTTAAAGATAACAATAGGTTAACACACATAATGATAGATAGTTTAACAGACATGAGATATAAATACTTTGATTATTTTATTTGGAATATAATTTATTGGTGGAATATAATTTTTGTTAAAGGTGTGAGACTCGCTAAGCGTAAATCGCTAAGAGCTTGGCTATTCAAGAATAAATCGAGGAGAATGACAAGCGAAACGGAACAAATATTAATAATATCTAACAATGCTACGACAGCAACTTTATTAGATTATAATTTATTATATGTGAAAGACATTGTGCACTTTTTAAACTTTTTAAACTTTTTAAACTGTCAGATTCAACTGTGTATAGCAATATTTGGCGAATTATAATTGTTGATGTAGTGAAATACGTCGATTCAAAGTCTCGCAGGAGCATCATGTTGTTACATTCTTTCATAATAAAAGCTGTCTATGTATTGGGGACTTGAATAAGTTCTCGCTGTTTATTCGTGAAAATGAATGCTTTCTTTAAAAAAATTATTAAAGAACATGTCATTGAAAGTATTGTCCATCGCTAGCCATTACTTTCTCCCATCTTTCTGGCAACATACGAATACCATGTCGAAAGAACGACTCATCTTTTGAGGTTATCCACAAATCGACCTATTTTTTGGCATCTTCATAAGAATGGAAGTGCTGCTCAGCCAGGCCATGAGTCATCGATCGGAACAAGTGGTAATCGGAAGGAGCAATGTCCGGTGAATACGGCGGGTGGGGTAGGACTTCCCATTTGAATGTTTCCAAGTAGGTTTTGACCGGTTTTGCAATATGTGGCCGAGCATTGTCATGCTGCAAAATTATTTTATCGTGTCTCTCTTCGTATTGCAGCCGTTTTTCCTCCAATACTCGGTTCAAACGCATCAATTGTAGGCGATAGCGATCTCCCGTGATGGTTTCGTTGGGTTTGAGGAGCTCATAATATACTACACCCAGCTGATCCCACAAAATACAGAGCATGAGCTTGGAACCATGGATATTCGGCTTTGCCGTCGATGTTGATGCATGGCCGGGCTCACCCCACGATTTTCTACGCTTCGGGTTATCGTAGTGTATCAACTTTTCATCGCCAGTCACGATACGATGCAAAAAACCTTTCCTTTTCTGCCGTTGAAGCAGCTGTTCACACGTGAAAAAACGTCTCTCGGTTTCAATTCGTACGGCAGCCAATTTCTTTGGTTTTGAATCATTCCTAATGCTTTTAAACGTTTCGCAACTGTTGTGTGATCAACTCCTAATGATTCTGCAAGTTCATTTTGCGTCTGACATGAGTCTTCATCGAGTAACACTTCCAATTCTTCGTCTTCAAACTTTTTCGGTACGCTAGAGCGTTCTTTATCTTCAACATCAAAATCATTATTTTCAAAGCGTCTAAACCAAGTCTCCACAAGAATTCTATGTGCTTCAGCTGCAGATTTGTTTTGAAAAAAGTAATGCAGTAAAATTCCCCGCGAATATTCTTTTTTGGCACGAAATTCGACATGTTTAACGCTATGAAAAAATATGTTGTTTACGCTTCGGTGGAATAACATATACTGTCACTTCGAGCCTAATGGTGGAGCTTCACGATGAAGTTGGCTGTAGTATTGCCCGATGCAAAAAGGCTAAGATAACCATCTGTCGGGAAACAGAGAGAACTTATTCAAGTTCCCAATACACTTTACATACGTATATAAGATATATAATATAATACGTATATAATATAATAATATATAATATATAATATAATAAGTATATAATATAATACGTATATAAGAGATATCTTCCTAAAATCCTACGTTTGTTAAGTTAGCCGATGCCGATACTCGACGGATGTCAACTTCGGACATATGCACATTGCTTTTACCAAGTATTTTTCTATTAAAATAGACATTTTATAAAATGTTTGTAACATGTTTTATACAAGTTTTATAAAATTAGGTTAGATGTGTGTAAAAGTAAAGTAAATAAAAAGTGCCGCCCCCACATTCCTCTGGATGAACTCGTTCTTCTAATGACAAGAAAGTAGGAGATATTTAAAATATAATTATACCCTTTCCCCAAGAGAAAACCTATACTTTCAATTTTATACTAAAAACTAAATGTTTTATTGTGAATAATAGAAGATGTTACGAAATTACAATCGGCTTCCATACAATTTCGGAAAAATGATGCTAAAATTGATGTCGTTAACTTACATAATAAACAAGGGTATTATTACGTTTTAAAGACGCGACTTTTTTATCATTTACTTCCCATATAATTAATTTTTATTCGCGATGTAATTTTCAAGGAAACGTCTCCTTTCTCGTCGATCTTTCCTCATATTTCAGAGCACAACGAAACTCCTTTATATACGACAGGACAACTACAATGGACAGCTACAATGGAAAGCACTGCATGTTAAAGGTACATCTGAAAAGGATTATAAATAGCAGGTACGTCGGTAGAATGCGGCAGAATGTAACAACCTCATCGAGTTGTGAATATTGTAACGTTCGTGATCTATTTGTGGTTTTTGATTAAGAAAATAACGTGTCTACCAGGTATGTGGGTAATTACTTTCCGGTTTTTGTAACAGATGTCACTAGCCATAAGTATGCAATGTTATGATTTGATACATATGTCATTTTATTCTACTGACATTAACCTCAAAACTACACAAGTTACATTCCGCCAAAATAACAGCGTTATAGATTAATAATTTTTTTAAAATGTCGAGTTTTGTACCTGAAAACGTGCATTTGCGGCACGCATTACTTTTCTTGTTTAATCAAAAGAAAAAAGCCGCTGAAAGTCATCGTTTGCTGGTACAGACTTACGGTGAGCATGCTCCAACCATAAGAACATGTGAAACATGGTTTCGACAATTCAAATGTGGTAATTTCAACGTTCAAGACAAAAAACGTCCTGGTAGGCCGAAAACGTTTGAAGATGCGGAATTGCAGGAGTTATTGGATGAAGACCTAACACAAACTCAAAAACAATTGGCAGAAAAGTTGAATGTGAGCCGAGTAGCAATTTGTGAACGATACAAGCGATGGGAAAGATCCAAAAGATGGGAAGGTGGGTGCCACATGAATTGAATGACAGGCAATTGGAAAATCGAAAAATCGTCAGTGAAATGCTGCTTCAAAGGTATGAAAGGAAGTCACTTCTGCATCGAATAGTAACGGGTGATGAAAAATGGATTTATTTCGAAAATCCCAAGCGAAAAAAATCATTGTTATCACCTGGTGAAGGCGGCCCATCGACTGCAAGGCCAAATTGCTTTGGTCGCAAGACCATGCTCTGTGTCTGGTGGGACCAGGTTGGTGTCGTATATTATGAACTGTTGAAACCTGGAGAAACAGTTAATACTGATCGCTAGCAACAACAAATGATCAATTTGAACTGTGCATTGATCGAAAAATGTTCACAATACGCTCAAAGACATGATAAGGTGATTTTGCAGCATGACAAAGCGCCGTCTCATACAGCAAAACCAGTCAAAGAAGTGTTGAAATCACTTGGATGGGAAGTTTTATCGCACCCGCCGTACTCTACAGACCTGGCTCCATCCGACTACCACCTTTTCGCATCGATGGGGCACGCGCTTGCAGAGCAGTACCTCGCCGATTTCGAAGAAGTTAAAAAATGGCTCGACGAATGGTTTAGCTCAAAGGAAAAACAATTCTTTTGGAATGGCATCCATAAATTGTCTGAGAGATGGGCAAAATGTATAGAATCAAATGGCCAATACTTTGAATAAATATATTTTAACTATCCACTGTAAATAACGTGTTTTCTTTAGCGAAAAAACCGGAAAGGAATTACCGACACACCTGGTATTTAGCTGATCGGCCGCTTCACTGAAATATCGACATTAAAATGAAGTTTTTCATGAAAGTGTTGCTCGCTCTGCTGTTGTTAATCTTTTTATCACTAACGATTTGTTAATCGTTTTATCACTAACGATTTGTGAGAACACGGAAGATGAAGACTACAAAGACTACGAAGATCCATGGGATGTATGGAATACTATAGATGATGATTTTGCGGATAATCCTATTAGTTTCTCATTAAATATTCCAATTATAGCAAAATAACGAGAAAATCAAAGGCTAGACAAAGATGAATAATGTCAAGGAGTAGAATAATTTCATTCACTAAGGTAATTACGTTTTTGTTATTTTCATAAATATTAGCTAAAGATAACGATAGTTTAACAGTGAGACATAATACTTTGATTATTTTATTAGTGGAATATAATTTTTTTAATAGGTGCAAAACTCGCTAAGCATAAATTGCTAAGAGACTGGCTGTTCAAGGGTAAATCGAGAGGAATGACAAACAAAACACGACAAATGATAATAATGTCTAATAATGCGACGATAGCAATTTATTATTATGTCCATGTGACATTGTTCACTTTTTAAACCATCAGATTTACCGTCAGTTGTATACAGCAATATTTGGCGATTTTGCAGTGAAATATATCGATTCAAAGTGTCGCATGGGAATCATATTTTATGTTATTGTTGTACTTTTTATTAAAAAAGCTTGTGCACTTACATGCGTCTTACATTTTTATCAAACGATATCCCTCTAAAATCCTACATCCGTCAAGTTGGCCAATGCCGGTGCTCGACGAATGTCGATTTCGAACGTATGCACATTGTCTTTATCAGATATTTTTCCACTAAAATAGATATTTTACAAAATGTTTATAACACGTTTTATAAAATTTTTATAAAATTAAATTAGCTGTGTACAATAAATAAAAAGTGACGCCACTGCATTCCTCTTAACGAACTCGTTTTCTTAATGACAAGAAAGTAGCAGATGTTTAAAATATATAATTATACTCCGAGAAAAAACTTTCATTTTCATTTCCAATTTTATACTAAACGTTTTTTGGCAAATCATAAGATGTTATGAAATTACCGTCGGTTCCCATACAATTTCGAAAAGATGATGCTACCATTGACATCGTTAACTTACGTTATAAACAAAAATATTTTTCGTTACTTTTTACAAGACTTTAAATGCCCGATTCTTCTGTTATTCCTTTTCTTAATTACTACGATTGATTTTTATTCGTGATGTAGTCTTCAAGGATAACTTGGTCGAGTTACTACGTCGTATTCTAAACCGCGCAAACAAGTAAATTGCCTCAAGCTACGGAAAGATTGCTTGCGTAATCATCTAAGAATGATTATAAATAGCGAGTACGTCAGAGAAACGCGACAGAAAGTATCAAACTTCAATGAGTCGTGATTTTAATATCCGTCACGCATTCGTGATTTTCAATTGAGAAAATAACGCGTTGATTCCGCCAATCAAACGCTTCATCGAAACATCGACATTAAAAATGAAGTTTCTCGTGAAAATGTTATTCACGATGGCGTTATTTACGATCGTTTTGTCAAAACCGGCCCCACCGACGGATTATCAAAGCACCGATCAGCCATCCACATCGAACCAATACGGTGGTTATCCTTATTAAATATAAATGTTCCATATAAATCACCATGTCCAGAGAATCAACGGCAGGACCAAAATGGAAATTTGGCGAGTGATGGAATAATTTCACTCATTAAGGTAACTCCGTTTTCATTATTTTCACGAATAATAGCTAAAGATAGGTTTAATAGCATAACATGATTACTTTGGTTATTTAATTCCCTAAAACATAATTGTTTTAAAAGGAGCAGAATCTGTTTGACGAAAATCGCGAAGAGGCAATAACTGGCTATTCAAGGATAAGTCGAGAAGGATAACGAGCAAAGCAAGACAAATATTACTCATGCCGATGTTGCGATGGCAACTTTATAAGATTATACTTTATCTTATTTTATGTACATAGACGTCACTGTTCACTTTTTAAGCTGTCAACCTCGCAATTATATGTATGAATGTTTGACGAATTGCGGTGAAATATATTGATTCAAAGTGCGGTATGCCAATCGTGTCGTTGCATTATTTTACAAGCCACCCACACGCGTCTTATACATACATCAGACGATACTTTCTTCGAATCCTACGTTCGATAAGGGGGGTTTTTCATTCACGGGCTCAAAAAATCGATTTTTTTATTTTTTTATTTGTATTCCTACTTGTGTGTAGAATACCTCTACAAAAGGATTTTCTGAAATTCATGGTTTTAACGGAGCTACGAGCTGAAATTAGTTAGCGCGCAAGGCCGTTGTTTAAGTATATTTAGGAAATTGAACGAACTTACGGTGAAGTTCGATTGTAATTATACTTTCTCGTCCGGATTGATATATATAGTCGCGCTCCGTCGCGCTTCCTCAATAGGATATTTAAAAGGCAAAGGGCGTATAAGGTCGCACCATGAATCAAGAACATGATCATTCCATTGCGGCACCTCCACTTATCAAGCTCCGCAGCGAACAACTCTCTAGTGAGAGCATCGTCGGACAGAAAAACAAGAGACTGCGAGGCATCGGAAGGTAATACCTCCCTTTGCCCAACAAGAGGATGGGCAAAGGTGACATTACTTCTCTCTGGCGAATTTGCAACACCAACGGAGTTATTCGACGGCTGCAAAAGGTTGTATCGATTTTTCCGCTTATATTCTCCAAATATAGGTCCAGAAAACACGTATATACCTGAGTCTCGCTAGACTAGCCCTTCCTGACTCGCAGGCGCTGCCACGCAAGAGGCATCCGGGACAGGGTATACCGGGATGGGCTCAGTCTCCGGCACCAAAAAGTTATCCGACCGTGGTTCAGGGAACTTCTGGAGACGTCGGACGACTCGGCGATGAGGACAGAGGCGACGGAACAGGGGAACGCCGGGGAGTTTTATTCTCTTTGTGCTCTAGTAGGTCGATTAAGCGCTTTAGCTTGTCCTCAAGACCCGCTAAACGACCCCGGGTAGAAGATCTCTTACGTTTTTTAAATTTATGAAAAGATTTACCCATATTCAAAAAGACGAACTACTCGAAACGGTCTAGAGCCTGTTGAGGGAAGAAGCAACAGGAACACAATGACGGCGCTGGCGCGAGCAGCGGCGTTGTTGACGGAGTCGTCAACAAGGCAACGAGATGCGCGCTTGTTGAACGACAAGACGCGTTTATTCTTTGCCTTTAAATATCCTATTGGGAAAGCGCGACGGAGCGCGACTACATATATCCATCTGGATGAGAACTTGCATAACTAAACTTTCAAACGCGTTTTTCTCGAAACTATGTTTTTCGATCTTACGGAACTGATAACTAAAAAATTAATAAAGATAGCCACTTTTTTTTTGTTTCACTTGTTCCTAATGCTTTTGCGCTAGGAATAGACTAGAATAAAGCTTTTATAACAAAAATTCGATTGTTTATAAGTAAAAATATACATAAATTTTTTCCGAAAAAACAAATTGCTTTTTGGAATTGACGCTATTTTTATACATTTCATTCAATTAACTTCGTTCTAGTTTATTCCTTCTGCGACACTCATCTAGATAATGAAAATTGGTTCTTTTAATTTCAGATAATATTTAGGAGTTGCATCACTTCTGTAGCAAGAGCTTGTTTTTTTGGTGGATCTGATTTCGGACGTCATTTTCTATAATAAATGCGTATTTTTTTTTTAATAAAAACTATATTTTTGCAGTACAATAGTTGTATAAATATATGCAAACACCCGTATCTTCCTATATATAATACTTTTCTAAAAAAAATTCACAAAAATTGATCATTTTTGAATCCATAAATGAGAAACCTTTCTTAAGTTATCCGATGCTGATACTAGACGAGTGTCAACTTCGGACGACACAATTACATATGCACATTATCTTTATCAAATATTTTTCTATTAAAATAGATATCTTACGAAGTGTTTATAAAATGTTTTACAAGATTTTTATAAAATAAAATAAAATAAAACAAAATAAAATGAAATAAACAAAACAGTTGTGTAAGAATACCATAAATATAAATATAAAGTGCTGCTATCACATTCCTCTTGACGAACTCGTTTTTCTAATGATAAGAAAGTAACAAAAGATGTTTAAGTCTTATAGTACCGAACAACGATATATCGTTGTTCGGTTAGTTGTTAGTCGTTGTTAGTAACATTTGCGAAAAGTATATTAAAATAAATAATAAGTATAATCAAATAAAATAAAAGCCAATAATATATCGTTGCGCATGCGATGGCGCCTTACTATTTACATCGCGAGAGAACTCTGTCTCAAAATAAACTTATAAAACATTATAAATGGTAAATTCCTCTTCAGAAGTTCTATGTAAGATGTTCTACGAATTGAAAAAATTGTTTATGGGCTTAACTTTCTTTTATATTTCGCGATGCTCCTGTGATGTTTGCTGCTCATCATGGAATTATCATGGGATTAGTTTTGTGTTTGGTATTAGTAATTTTGTTACAAATATTTGATAATGCAATATTTGTGCTTTATACTACGTGCACTACATTAAACTATGACTAAACGACGTTTCTTTTTATTTGCAATTACTATTTATAACTGATTTTATAATAAATAATTAATACAAATAACTGATTTTTCCATTTTCCTAATGTTTTTGAACAAACATTATTAGTATGATTTTCAAGAAATATTGAAATATTTGTTGGCATTAATTTATCCTCCCTTTATTTTGTAATATGTTCCTTTTGGAATTTGGTAAATATCATTCTTACTTTTATGTTTATACTTTTATGTTATATATCATTCTTACGTATATATCATTCTTACTTTTATGTTTATACTTTTTTTCTCAAACTTTCTAAATTACATCAACTAGGTTCGGTATTCTTCGCTTAGGTACAATTCTTTCAATCGGCACTAAAAGAGTTAAAATATATAATTATACCCCAAGAAAAGATTTTCAATTTTATACTTAATTTTATACTGAAAACTAAACGTTTTACTGTGAATCATAAAAGATATTAGGAAATTATAGTTGGTTTCCATACAATTTCAGAAAGATGGTGCTAAGATTGATGTTATTAACTTACATAACAAACGAGAATATTATTACGTTACTTTTCCCAAGACTTTAAAGACGCAATTCTTCTATCACTTTTTTCCCTGACCTATATGATAGATTTTTATCCGCGATGTAATCTTCAAGGATAATTTAGTCGGTTTTCTATGTCGTATTCTAAACTGCGTAAACATGTGAATTGTCCCAAGTTACAATAGAAAGATTGTTTACATAATCACCTGAGGATGATTATAAATAGCGGGTATGTCAGAGGAATGTGGCAGAGAGTAACGAACTTCAATGAGTCGTTGAGATTTTAACATCCGTAACGCATTCGTGATTTTCTACTGAGAAAATAACGTGTCGATACCGCCGATCAAACGCTTTGACATTAAAAATGAAGTTCCTCGTGAAAATGTTATTCGCGATGGCGTTATTAACGATCGTTTTGTCAAAACCACATAGACCGGCGGATTGTCAAAACACCGAAGATCAGTCATCATCGACTGGTGATAGTGATTATTCTTCTTTCATAAGTTCTATCATAAATTTTCCATATATACCACTATGTCCAGAGAATCAACGGCTGGATCCAGATGGAAAATGTCGAGTGGTGGAATAATTTTACTTACTAAGGTAATTCCGTTTTCATTACTTTCACGAATAATTGTTAAAGATAAGTTTAATGGTAAGATACAAATACTTTGATTATTTTGTTCATAAAATATAATAATACATATATGTTTTTTTAAGAGCAATATCCGCTAAGCGAAAATCGCTAAAAGACGATAATTGAGTATTCAGAGATAAAGGATGACAAGCAAAATCGTCCACATGTTTCTTACACATACATCGGACGATATCTTCTTAAAATCCTATATTCGTTAAGTTACCCGATGCTGATACTAGACGAGTGTCAACTTCGGATGACATAAGGACATATGCACATTATCTTCATCAAGTATTTTTCTATTAAAATAGATATTTTACAAAATGTTTATAATACGTTTTGCAAGATTTTTATAAAATTAAATTAGTTGTGTATAAGTACTTTAAATAAAAAGTGCCGTCACCATATTCCTCTAGACGAACTCGGTTTTTGTAATGACCTTTCTAAAGACAAGAAAGTAGGAGATGTTTAAAATATAGTATAATTATATCCCAAGAAACAACTTTTAATTTTATTTCCAATTTTATATTAAAAACTAAACGTTTTATTGCGAATTATGGAAAATGTTACTAAATTATAGTCAGTTTCTATACAATTTCGGAAAGATGATGCTATAATTGTCATCGTTAACTTACATAATAAACAAGAATATTATTACTTGTTAGAAGACGCGATTCTTTTATTACTTTCTTCCGGGACTTCATACAATTGATTTTTATTCGCAATGTAGTCTTCAAGGATAACTTGGTCGGTCTTTTACATCGTATTCTAAACCGCACAAACAAGTCAGTGGCCTCAAACGCTAAAAATCGACTGCATAATCATCTAAAGATGATTATAAATAGCGGGTACATCGGAGGAACGCGACAGAAAGAAACGAACTGGGATTTCGTCACGAACATCCGTGGCGCATTCGTGATTTTCGATTAAAAAAATAACGCATCCATTCTGCCGATCAAGCGCTTCATCGAAACATCGACATAATGACAAAATTGAAGTTTTTAGTGAAAATGTTGTTGGCAATGGCATTATTAATGATTGTTTTGTCACCGGCTTTTTGTCAAAACACTGATGATACTTCATTTACCGAAGACATTGGTTTTGTCATAAATGTTCCATATAAATCATCATGTCCAAAGGGTCAACAGCTAGACGCGAATGGAGAATGTCGAATGATGGAATAATTTCACACACTAAGGTAATTCCGTTTTCATTATTTTCACGAGTAATAGCTAAAGATAGGTTTAACCGTTTGAGTCCCAGGGGGTATTGAAAAAACACTGTCGAAGAATCCCAAACAGCGCAACCGCGCTTTCTATAAATGAGTATGAAAAGAC